GTGTGGTGTGGTTCAATCCATACATCTTTGTCCACGGTGCAGAACAACTACTCTGTTGAGGGGTAGTATGTTTTAATCCACACCCTGTTGTGTGGTGTGGATGAAAACACACCGCCCAATTTCTCATCTACACTACAGAACACCCCCTTAATCTTATGTCTATTAGTAAACTAACCAAGTCCCTCAATTGTTCTATCACTTTTTACCCTTATTGTGTTTTTCAGGATCTCAAGACGGGGAGGAAGATTGGTGGAGGGAATGAAACTGGTGGATTGTATTAAATTGACGGTGGTGGTTCTATAGTTGCTCTTCAAACTTCTTTGACTCCTCTCCAATGGCATTATAGACTCGGTCACCCATCTTTTAAAGCTCTCAAGCTACTTGTTTTGTCATTGAGTCGTCTGTCTTCTTTGTAGTGTGAGTCGTGTCAGTATGGGAAACACTGTTGGGTTTCCTTCAGTCCTAGAGTTGATAGTCGCATGTTGAGTCATTTCGCTTTGGTTCATACAGATATTTGGGGTCCTATTAGGATTGAGTCCTATAATGGTCATAGGTATTTTGCTATTTTTATTGATGACTGTTCAAGAATGACATTGATTTATTTAATGAAAGAAAGGAGTGAATTATTTTCCATTTTCCAAAAGTTTCATGCTGAAGTACGTACACAATTTGGTGTTTCAATTAAAATTCTCCATTCAAACAATGGCAGATAGCATTTTCTTACTTCATTTCAGCAGTATTTGAAGCAACATTGCATTATTCATCAGACATCATGCGTAAATATTCCTCAACAAAATGGGGTGGCTAAGAGGAAGAATCGACATCTACTTGAAACAGCTCAGTCCCTTCTTCATTATATGAATGTTCCTAAACATTTTTGGAGTGATGTGCTTACCACTTGTTTCCTCATTAATCGCATGCTCTCGTTCATTCTTGATGGTCATTCCCCGTTCTCTATCTTGTTTCCCACTTCGTCTCCATATATCCCTTGACTCCCAGGATCTTCGGGTATGTGTGATTTGTTTAGAATCTTGGTCCTGGTCTAGATAAGTTGGATGCACGCTCCATTAAGTGTATCTTTCTTGGCTACTCTAGTACTCAGAAAGGGTATAAATTCTACAATCCCATTACTCGGAAATCATTTGTTTGTCCTAATGTTACATTCTTTGAGTTTGTGTCGTACTTCTCAGGTCCTGATATTTCTCCTCCCAAAGAGGTTCCTCTTCCTCTTCCAGTTGATAATCTCATTCATGCTGTTCCCGTTGTGACTGAGTCTCCACCTCCTCCAATGCAACAACTTACTAAAAGGCCACCAATCCATCAAGTGTATACTCACCGACAGAGACCAACACCTCCTCTAGCTTCTACTCTGTCAACAAATACAATTTCTTCCACACCCGAGTTGCTTTCTGACCTTGACCTTCCTATTGCATTGAAAGGTAAACGTAGTTGCACTCTACACCCCATATCCAATTATGCTTTTGTTTATCACCTTTCCACTTCCCATCGCCAGTTTGTTTCTCTGTTATCTTATGTATCTACACCTAAGGATGTTCAAGAGGCTCTTACCTCGCCAGGGTGGCGTAAAGCTATGGAAGAGGAACTCTCTGCCCTTAATCACAATCATATGTGGGAACTCACCAATCTTCCCCTAGGTAAGCATGTTGTTGGTTGTAAATGGGTGTATACTGTTAAATATCTACCAGATGGGAGTGGAACGGCTAAAAGCCCGTTTAGTTGCCAAAAGGTATTCTCAACTTTATGGTATAGCTTATGTGGAAACCTTTTCCCCTATTGCTAAGATTGGCTCAGTGCGTGTGTTGATTTCCTTAGCAGTCATGAATGATTGGCCTTTGTTTCAGCTCGCTGTTAAAAATACCTTCCTTAGCAGTCATGAATGATTGGCTTTTGTTTCAGCTTGATATTAAAAATACCTTCCTCCATGGTGATTTTCTAGAGGAAGTGTACATGAAGCAACCACCAGGGTTTGTTGCTCAGCGGAGGATGGTAATGTGTGTGAGCTCAAGAAGGTAATCTATGGGCTCAAACTGTCTCCCCATGCTTGGTTTGGCAAATTTAGTGAAGTAGTGAAAGAGTTTGGAATGAGACAATGTCAAGTTGACCAATCAGTATTTAGCTATGATTCTGAAGCCAAGAAGATCTTGCTAGTAGTTTACGTGGACGACATAGTCATCATTGGCAATGATAAACTTGGGATTGATAGACTGAAAGTCTTTCTACAAGATCACTTTCAGACAAAAGATCTTGGGAAGTTAAAGTATTTCTTGGGTATAGAAGTTGCTAGGTCGAAGCAAGGCATAAACCTATGTCAGAGGAAATATGTTCTTGACCTATTGGAGATTAGGTGCTAAACCAGCTGAAACCCCCATGGAACCGAATGTGAAGTTGGGCAGTGATATAGGTGAATTATTTGATGATCCCAGAAGGTAATAGAAGGCTAGTGGGAAAACTGAATTACCTAACTATTACTAGACCTGATATCTCATTTGTTGTTAGTGTGGTAAGCCAATTTATGCAAAGCCCTTGAGTTCCTCACTGGGACACAGTTCTTAGAATTGTGTGGTATTTGAAGGGGGCTCCAGGTCGTGGGTTACTATACAAGCCAGGAGGTGGTCTTGAAATAATTAGCTATACAAATGCAGACTGGGCAAGCTCAGTACCGGACAGGAAATCCACTGTAGGTTATTACACCTTTCTTGGAAGAAATTTAGTGACATGGAAGAGAAAAAAGCAGACTGTTGTAGCAAGGAGTAGTGTAGAAGCAAAATACAGGGCCATGGCACACACTACATGTGAACTGGTGTGGTTGAAAAATCTTTTGCAAGAAATCAGGTTTTCAATAAGCAAACCCGTGAAGTTATACTGTGACAACCAAGCTGCAATTCACATCTCATCCAATCCAGTTTTTCATGAGAAGACTAAGCACATAGAGGTAGATTGCCATTTTGTAAGGGAAAAAGTCCTTAATGGTGTCGTAAGTACAGAGCATGTGAGAATAGGTGATCAGTGGGCAGACTTGTTCACAAAATGGTTGAGTTCGGAAAGAGTGAGCTATATATGTAACAAGCTGGGATTATATGATATATATTCTCCAGCTTGAGGGGGAGTGTTAGAGTCTGCTAAGGAAGGGCATTTCAGTCTTTTCCATTTAAGTATTATGTTAATTACATGTCCCATACTTAAGCAGGGGCATATTTGACTTTGTACATTGTTTTTGACATATAAATATATGGTTGGCTGGGTGAGTCTTTTTGACTTTTCAGTTCAACACTTCTTTCTCTTCTCTTCTTCTTTCTCTCTCTCCTCTCTTTCTCTCTTCTCTACCTCTGAAACTAGTTCGACTGAACTATTCTTACACTCTTAATACATTTGGAACCTTCAGCAATCAGCAAAGATTTCCTCCGGCTAGTTTTGGATAATCATTGATTATATTGTCAAGTTGTTTGAATTTTCATTACCAAAAAAAAAAAAGCATTTAGGCTGCAGTTTCAAGGGCATCTAGGAGAACAGAAACGTGAAGATCTTTTCTGGATTGTGCCCATAACGCTCAAGAGGTTTTGATCTTCATCATCATTACAATTGCTCACCAGGTACCATCCAGCAACTATTGGGAACTTAAAAGAGGTATTTAGCTAATTTCTCATCATATAGAATTTGGAAAGGCTTGGATCCCCCTTTTCTCAAACACCACAAAGTTCAACTGTTACAGGTTTTCTATGGGGAATCACTGACCTCTGGTAACTGGTGATTGTAGCAAAGGGACCTTGTAACCAACTGTTCCAAAGGAATGGACTCCTCCGGAGAGGGACTACATAAAGTTTAATTCTGATGAAAGCAGCAGCCTTGGTAATCTGGGACCTTCAGGTTTGGAAAAGGGTTTTCGAGATGGTAAGTGACATTAGTTGTCATGCTTTCAGGTCCAATTGGAGTTGGGGATTCCTCAAGGGCTGAGCTGTTGGCTACCATACAAGGAGTGCAGTGGGCTACTGAAATGAAAGTCAGCAAATTGATCATATCATTGAAGGTGACTCACAGGTAGTGATTGTTGCTGAACAAGCGGCTTGGGTATGCAAGTGAACCTATAGGTATGAACTAAAGAAAGTTAAATGGATTAACTTGGGTTTGCAAGTCAAAATCCAATTTGTGCAAAGGTTTCATGGCCGATGCATTAGTCAAACAAGGGGCAATCAGTTTTTTTAGTTATTTAGTTTTTTTTGGGGGGGGAGGGGACGCTCAGTTGTCAAGTGAAATTGAAGGGGTGAGGTGTTGGCAATACTTTCAAAAGGGTATATTTAAATCATATATACAATTGCTGTTTATAATTAATGAAATTTAATTATCAAAAAAATTTGCATCAATCTCTTACTCTTTCTCTAGCATGGTAATGTTGGAAACCTCATCAAACTGAGTAGTTGGGCTTCTATCTCAGGCTCAGACTTGTTATCCACAGGATTCGAGAAGACGGGTGGAGATTCTTAGGCTGCTATTGTTTAGATGGCTGCTGACTCTAGCAGGCTGAGCACATCTAGTCACTTCATTAGTTCACTGGAGAAGCTGGACCAGAATGAACTTCTCATTTGTCTGGGTTCTTAGGTCAGTAAGTTCGTTCCTTTGCCTAATTAGTGAGACTACTCGTGTTTGCTGTAGTTTTTGCAGTGTTTACAGGCTAACCTACCTAGGCTTTAGTTCTCTGGCTGTGTTTCTTGTCCCAAGGAGCTAATGGTCATAAACTCACCATGCATTCTCTTCTTTTTACTTGTACTTAGTAAAATTCTTTTTTCTTATCAAAGAAAAAAGTTTAAAAAAAAACTTTAAAAAGTTAGAAACTTAGAATAACTCAACCACAAGTTAAGTGGTGCTTTCAATCTATTTGTAGCTTGTAGCCAACAACCTTCTTTTAAGAGAATACCAATTTCAACTCAAGATGCTTATGCAAAACAAGATGCTACTAAACCACATAAAAGGATGTAATGTAATACCCGATCTGCGAAGAGGTTCTCCTTCTTTCCATTCTTAAAAAGAGCCAATTGAAACTCCTCCTGAATGTACAGAAAGACTTAGTGACTAACAATCCTCTTGAATCAGGGTTCTCAAATATAATAAAGTTTAATTTCAGAATACTCAACAAGCATTGATAACATTATGTACTAGAAATGCATAAGAAATTACTAAAACACACAATTTAGGTAATTAGATATAGTTTTGAACTGGTTCCTATATTACCAAGACATATTGATACAGAACCATTGCATATTCCAAAAGTTAAAAAGGAATACAAGGAATGCAAATGCACCATTCACTGTCATGTGTGTAAGCTATTAGAACCCATCAACCCAAAACATCATATACGTTGCAACAGTGGCAACACTTGACCATAATGCTACAGATTTTTTTTATCAGAAAAAGTAACTTTCATTAAAGATAATTTAAAACTGAGATACAGGAGTCAACAATTATTAGAAGAGGTTGATTAATAAACACCAACCATTACAGCACTGCCCAGTAAAGTCTCTCCCTTGCAGTCCTTTGTTTAGCTAAGGCATCAGCAAAACCATTTGTTGATCTCCTTACCCACTTGAAACAAACACCCACCTCCCTTGTTATGTTAAGCATTTCCCTTATTAGCTATCTATATTGCCAAATTCCCAGCTGTCCTGATTGCATCCACCCAATTACCAATTTGGAGTCCCCCTCTATCTCAATCTGCTATAGCCCCAATTGTTTGGCCAGTTTTACACCTTGATATAGTGCCAAGATTTCCGCTCTCAAGGAATCTCCAGCTCCAACTAGACCTGAATATAATGCCATTATCTTACCTTCATTATCTCTGAAAACACCTCCTACACCAGATGGGCCCGGATTACCTATAGAGCTCCCACCGAAGTTCAGTTTTACCCTCTGTTGTGTCGGTGGGGACCAAACTTCCTGTACCACAGGTTTGGAAGAAGTTGTAGTTGCCACAGTACTCTAGTTTCTATAAATGTCTTCAGCTGAGAAATCCTTAAAAAGATCATAGGATTTCAACCAACGGATAACCTTAGTGGTTATTCCTTCCACAACCTCTTCCTTGGATCTACACCTATCTTTGAAGATCCTATTGTTTCTTTCCTCCCACACTGACCACAATACAGAAGCTCCAGTGGCTCGGGGGGAATCCACCTGCAACCAAAGAGAAAAGAGAACCAATACCAAATAAAGAACAAAAAAGGGACAAGAGGTTAGTAAACTGTAAATGTGAAATTGTCTCACTAGAATCCAAGCATAGGCTACAAACATGGTGGGAGAGACACATATTTGGCCTCTTTCTCTGCAATAAATCAAAGGTATTGTTTTTTGGAGTACCACTTCCCAACAAAAGGCCTGAAGTTTTGGAGGTACATGACTACTCCACTCCTCCTTTGAAGGAAAGTTTCTTGTACGGTTAGAGGTCTGGAGCAAAATGTTATAGAATGAAGAGCAATTGAAAAAACCAGAAGGGGCAGGTTTCCAAATTCTGCTATCCCTACTAGATCATTACATCCATCCAACTACTTGCTTATCCAAGAGCTTCATAACATGTTACTGCTAGAGATGATGATACCCATTTGTCAGTTATCCCTACAGAATCCACTTTGTTGAGTGGGCCGGTTTGTTTTGTTGAGTGGCCCGGTTTGTCTTTAGTTTGTTTTTATTTAATTAGGAAGTTGTTGGGCCTTCGGCCCATTAGTTTTTTATTTTTTAAAAGTTGTGACTATTCAGTTTTAGTAGCCGCCCTACTAAGGGCATCCTTGTAATATCTCATCTTTAAGTTAAATATAAATATAATGAGGGGCTGGCRGCTAGGGTTAACTTTCTCATAACTCTAGTTGACCTCCTACTCTTTTCTTCTTCTCCTTCCTTCTCTACTGCTGAAATCTTCACCTTCCCTCTCTTTCTCTCACAAGAAGATTGACTGAATCAGCAAATAGTGATTTCTTTTTGGTATCAGAGCAGGTTGAAGGTTCTTGAAGTTGTTCTCTCATGCAGCCCTAGATCGGCCGACTGCATGGTGATTTAAGAGGCTGATCGAGGTAAGCTCAGTTTTTGGATTTTCTTGATCGATCTGTGTGCCCTGTAGCTGGTCTAGGGTTTCTCATCTGAATCAGGAAAAACTGGAGAAAGGGGAAGAGTCCTGTTTTTGCTGGACTCTTCAATTTTGACCTAGGAAGTGGCGCCCTAGTTTTTTAGGGTTCCTTGGAGTTTTTTGTAAGGAGCGATTCAAGTCCCACGTGGTTTGGAGGCTTCTAGAGAGGGCGGTTGTCTTTTCTCTCTCTTCTCCCATCCCACAGAAAATGAATCTTTTGTGAGAAGAAAGCCCAGGACACCAAGAAAGTGTTGGTTCCAAAAGGTGTCTTGTTTGATCTTGCTGCAATTTTTAGTTATTTTCTTTACCTTTTTTGAGAAGCATGGAGGGCCATAGATTTGAAAATAAGCCCGGGAGTGAAATGAGACCAGTGGGAGGGGGTGCTGGAGACCCCTTCGGGGCTGGAACCATTACTACAGTTAGGTTGGATGGTGCAAACTACTTGGAATGGTCACAATCTGCAAAGATGGCCATTGAGGCTCGTGAGAAATTAGGGTATATCACTAGTGAAGAGGTGAAACCCTAAACTAGCAACTCCCAGTGGGTGCAGGAAAACTATATGGTGATGACTTGGTTGTGTAATTCCATGTTGCCACATATAAGTAAAAATTTYTTATGGGCAAAYACTGCTAAGGARATATGGGATGGGGTTGCAGAAACCTATTCACAAAGGGAGAATGTTGCTAGGGCTTATCAACTGAGAAATCGGATTATTGCTACAAGGCAGGGAGATAGATCT